TATCATCAACCCTTAAAAAAAAAAACATTCAATCTTCACATGTCTTATTTTTGGGACATCAATAAAATTCATCTCATAGCCACATTATTTTCTTAATGCTATTCAGAACACCACATACTATAATGGCAGTACAGAGTTCTTGAAGTACTTAGTGGCCATGACCTCATTTTTTTTTTAGATTATAATATATTACGCTTTTAATTAACACATTAAACTACCTTTGCAATAGAACAATAACAAAAATAGGGTTCATAATCAGAAAAAATCATATATAAGCAAAAAATATACATATCTAAAGTTATAACTTATGGAAAAAAAAAATAGATATCGATCAATCCTCAATACAACTGAAAAAGTAAACATCAACGGCACGAGGACATTACAAAATCTTATTAGATATACCTGATTAATTCACTAAAGTATCTATATTATCTTTTTTCAACTGGATCATCTCTTGAACACCATCACCATCGTATATGTTGAAGTCAATCACATAAAAATCTTTCTCGAGCATTGATTTAAATTCCCTATGTTAAAATATTTTACAGGTATGTCTGTTGGATCTTCATCTAAGACCTAAAATCAACATGTTTCAAGATGATGTCTCCATGTAAAAGAATATATGACATATCTCTGAGTATGACTCACTTTTTATTTTATAAGTTGAATGCTCTCTTGATAAAACTCTGTAATGATAAATAATTCATTTCTCTCAAAGTCATGAAGATGCTACCTCGTATCGGGGAAAAGCTTTAAAAAATATCGTTGAGTTATCCAAAATTGACGCTGTAATATTTCTCTAAATAATAATATATATTATTAGCACATCTCATTAAATGTAACACTTTATATACGGTCATGAATGTACTAATTGGGCGGAGACATTGTTTTCATATTTATTCACATTGTCGAGTAGCAAATTTGAACATGCAACTATAATGAGCATTTCATTAAGAATGTAGAACATATACTGAAGTTACAAAATGCTTTAGATATTTTGTATTGCATATCTATTACGTCTTACATGTGCAATCTTGTCAATGTTGTTGATGTGTGCTTCGACATGTTTGTCATTAATTACTCATATACATTCCTATTTAAAATATTTATTATAGCACATTTTTGGTAAAACTTTCATGCAAATTATATAGATAAATCAACTACTTAAAATGATAGATCTTTTATTATTACAAATTTCTTTGGGTGTATGTTCAAAAGTAGGATTTGGGTTTTGATAATGTTATTGGCCACTTTAAGCTACAGGCGGACGACGGCAACCAGCTACTGAAAAGATGGGGCGGCCACGATGATGGGGGCGGCAACAGCATGTTGTGGCGCGCAACGGGCGGGCAATCGGCAGCTGGCAGGATGCGGGCGGACGACAAACGGGGAGAGGCAAGCGGACGACAGCTAGAGGCGAGCAGACGAAGGGGGGCGGTGGGCGGGGAGCGGCGGGCAGACGACGGTGCAGACGGCGGCAGGATGTGGCAAGCAACGGTGACCAGCGGGCGGCGACTTGCATTTTCTGCAGACTTGTTTATAATTTGTGTTTAGAGACAGACCTGTTTAAGGTCTTTTAAAAACAGTAAAAACATATTTTTTATGCTTTGGATATTTAAAAATAGAGCATTATTTCTAAAATAAAAAACACAAACAAAATAAAAAATGGTTAAACAAACACTATTTTGTTGTTTGTTTCATGCTTTTTGTTTTCCAAAACAAAAAATAACAAATAAAAATTGATCCCAAACAACCCCGAAGATAAACCCCAACAAAGTAATTACTTGTATGTATTTATTTTTTATGAATCTGACAATTTCTAATTAAATTTACAGAAACAATGGTTATTGCCAAGGAGGAGGCACACATTCGCAGGAACTTCGAACAAAAGGGGAGTGATCATCTGCATGACCAGTTCGGTGATATACACCAGACACGTGAGAGCCCCTTGTGGCTAGGCAAGGATGTGTTTATCGCACCGCTTAGGGCCTGGGACTCTCCTGAATATCAGAGTAAGAGAAAGCAAGCAAAGTTGAACCGCCGCTCTGACTGTGGGGGCATAAGATCCTCAAATCACACCAGTGGAGCTCTCCCACATAAGGAGTACAAGAGGAGGTTGGTAAACTTTTTTTTTTGCATTAAATCTTAGTTTACATTAAATGTATACTAACGATTCCATTACACTAATAGACACTGGAGAAAGGATGAGAGCCAAGTGTTATAGAGTTACATGAGCACACCCATAGGCGTTGTCGAATCAGTCATGGGTGAACAGAAGATCGCAGACAATCCAAGTAATTCACAAGTTTAATAATTATACAATTCAAATAAATATGGAAATTTATTTAGTCTCTCACTTTCATTAATCATGTGTTTTGTAGTAGGTCTTCCAGAGGCTCAAGGAAAGCCGCTCACAGCAGTCGACTTGTGGTTCAGACACTTCTCACGATCCTTCTAAGTACGAGCTCTGGAGGGAGGCTATCGATGGGAAGAAGAAGGGCAGGGTCTACAGGTTGGACTCTCAGGTGTCGGACTATGATGCCTGCTCAGCCTCTAACACATCTCGTGCATCCACTTCCACTTCACTGGAGAAGGAGATGTGTTGTCAGGTTGTTGTTGAGGTTGATGCCCAAGTAGCTGCCCTGAGATTGGAGATGAGGGCAGATATCGAAGAGGTACTGCATTCAGAATTGTATGAAGGGAGGAGCCAGTGCAAGATGAGGGATGGGATAATGATAAAGAGGAGAGGAGACAAGATGATAAGGAAGATGAGTAGGGGGTTTTTTGTTTGTTTGTGTATTGAACAACTTATTGTGAGTTAATATTATTTTTATTTTGCAGCTGTACATTTCGTTTGTTTTAATTCAATTTCTTTCTTTTATTTCTATATGTGATTTATGTGTTAATTAATTTTGATATTGTGTTGTTCTGGGTTTTGATTGTAATATTATGACTACAGGTGTGTAAATTGTTATGTTGAAAGAGGGCATCACTTTTTTTTTCCTGATGCTACAGGTTTTCGACGGCTTACTGAAGATTTTAAGACTCCTTGCTTATGTGTCGATGGTTTACCGACCGTCTATCAAATAAGCGAAATCAGCACAAAGTGATACGCTTTTACTACAGACAAAACCGTTGGTATGTTCTTATGGTTAACCGACGCTTTAATGACAGTTTACCGATAAAACTGTAACAGTTTTCCAACGGTAGTGCAACACAAAGTACTTCTCCGAGTGTTGTAGCACTTTAGCAGTCTAATACCAAGAATCCTCGTCTCCTATTCCTATAAAATAAACACCTATAGTAAGCTTATTGGTATGAAAAAGAAATTCAAAAGAGTGATACATCACAGAACTTTTTTCAGCCTTCTTCTCCAATCTTCTTCCTCTGTGCTCTAAATGTCTTTAATACGCTCATTAGATGTCTGAGGCAAAATCTCTCAAAAAGCTTAGCTATGATTTATTTCTTATATAATTGAAACCAATCTTATTTGATTAGACCCAAATTTGAAGCCAAATATAATAAATATGATATTACATGATTGATTTGTTGCACAAGAAAATTTAATGTTATCATGAACTAACAACTACTTTTGTAAAAAGGACTCTGAAGCATTTTTAAATTATAACCACATCTATTTATGTTAAAAAGCCCAAACATTGTAAATAATCCTCAACTTGATATATCCTACTATAACTATATGTATATTTCTCTTTTGTGTATGTCTTCAAGATTACAGAAAATTAATTTTTCCAAATACTAAATATTTGATGGAACATTTCTCAATAATAAAATCCACCTTTTTACAAAACTATTAAAATTCGAAGCCAAGTTAAAGCTAAAGGACCTCTTACTCAATATTGTATGCACATATACTTATCTAAATGCTAATGCTGTAATTTAGCAATAGTTTATATCGTTATTGAAAAATATGATGTTTCTTTTCTTTAATTCAGATTTACTTGTCCGATAATTAATTATATTTAAGTATTATTTAATTTACTCATTAAAAAATATGAAAAATTATTGTATGAGGAGTCCTGATACAGTTTTGCATCAGGACTCCAATCAAGGTCTATCACGTGTACAGGCAGACCCACCCATATATTAAATTGGGAGTCTGTCTGTACACGTGACATATCTTGATTGAAGTCCTGATACAAAGCTGCATCAGAAATATTAGGACTCCTGATTAGGGCTGTCAATTTGGCTCATTGTTCGTGAACAGCTCGTGTTCGGCTCGTTAAGCAGCTCGTGTTCGGCTCGTTCGTTAAGCCTAACGAGCCGA